GGCCATGCCGCAATCCCTTCTCCTCCATTCTCCTCTTGGGATCTTGGGCGTGCACGCACACGTGCCCGGAGTGAGTTTAAGCCAAGTCCGGGACTTGAACCACGGTCGACTACCTGGGAGTCCAGTGACATAGCCATTACACCTACTGCTGGGCCCCATGCTTGTGTCTCTCAAGCTGCCAGGTCTAGGGTTTCAGTCACACAGTTGGCCATGTGGGATCTGGCTGCCTTAACCACCAGGTCATGGAGCCGGCCCAAAGGCATCCTTAATTGGGAAACTGGCATGGTTCTGATGACTTCTGTGGTCCCTCCCAACTCTGGCACAATGTGCTTTTCTAACCTCCTAGTGCTTGTCAGCGAACTCAGAATCTGATAAAAGGTAAAAAAAAAATTTGTTGTTTAATGGAGTCTGGTGACTTTGAATGGTCCTTGGTTGGAGTACTTTTATAACCTTGCTCCTCAGGTAATTAGAAAACCTCTTTTAAGCAAGGTGTCAGTAAGTTAAAAATTAATATTTTTTTGGGACCAGCAGTTAGCATAATGGCAATATCACTCAGCTCCCATGTAGTCAACCGCGATTCGAGCCCCGGACCCAATGGCTTAGACTCACGCTGGGCACGTGTGTGTGCGTGCCCGAGATCCAATGAGGAGAATGGAGGAGATGTGACTGTGCATGGCCATCACCCCAGGGGGGTGAATTCTTGTTTTCTGTCTCTCTGGCGAGCGCACGCGCCCTATAGCAAAAACCTCTCAAAAAATTTTAATATTTTTTTTAAAGACCATTTGAAACATTTATGTCCCAAAGTATATTAAATTATATAGAAAATACTCATAAAACATGACTGTATCATTTGATGAAAAAATTAGTGTGTTTTCTACTCGTTCTTCAGAGATGCAAAAAAGAAACTGAGGCTTGCTCTTTGCTCTGCGGATTCAGTTGCCTTCCCAGTGCTGACCCACTCGACGAGGAACGGGCTGCCAGACCACACAGACCCAGAAGGCAAGTCACTGCGGAGAAATTTACTTTTCTCTGTGTTTCTAGGTTGAACCACATGAAATGGCCAGGATTTGACTTTCGTGGGTTAGCCTCATACATGTATCATATATTAGGGCACTTATGGGCCCTTTGATTACTCACAGTTCATTGCAGCTTTTCTCATTGAGAGTGGCAGCGCCAGCTTAGCTCTCATGAGAAAACAGAGGGGACATTTCACTGAGAGGAATCCCTGGACATGCTCATAACAACAGAGTTCTTATTCTTTATTTAGACAACGAAATTGTATGCTTCTTAAAAGTTCAAATAGCCGAAGCGATTAACCTACAAGATAAGAACCTAATGGCTCAGCTTCAAGAAACCATGCGTTGTGTGTGCCGCTTTGATAACAGGACTTGCAGGAAACTGCTGGCATCCATCGCTGAGGACTACAGGTAATGTCCCCACCTGTGCGGCCTGCAGGCCTGGATCTAGGCTTACGACAACGTGCTTGGCTGTGTTCACCTGGATGTAGTTTTCCAAGCAACACTTCCAGAAATGTAGTTAAGAATGAGGAGCTCATGCTAATAAAGAAGTGCAATGTACTTCATTTTTATACAAAAACAAATAAAGAGGTCTGCCTATATTTTGAGGCCAGGATGACTAGGCTATTATTTTCTTTCCTCCTTTCTTTTCTTTCCTTTTCTTTCTTTCTTTATTTTTTTTGGCAAAAGAGCATTCAGGGGAGAGAGATTTTCTTTTTTTTTAAGAGATATTTTTGCTATAGGATATGTGTGCTCACTGGAGAGACAGTGAGAAATCAGCCTGCAGAGGGGATGATCACACTGTAGTCTGTTCTCCATTCTCCTCTCAGGATCTTGGGCATGCATGCATATGCACCTGGCATGAGTTTTAAGCTGCCAGGTCCAGGACTCGAACTGTGGTCAACTACATGGGAGTCCAGCGACGTAACCATTATGCCATCTGGTGGTCCCAAGAAAGAGATATTTTTAATAGGATCCCATGGCATCTGATCTCTCGGCCCCATCTTCTAGTTAGCTAAAATCACAGGTGTGTGCCACCACATCTAGCCTATTTAGGTCACTTGACCCAATTAGGTAGGGCCAGGAACCGAACTGTTGCCTCCCACATGACCTCGGCCACGGCACAGAGATGCCCTCCCACTTACACCACTGTGGCTGCCCCCCTTTTTCTACCCTTCTCCAGATGCCATTCCCTTTCTAGTGGTTATGGAGGCAAATGTAACTACGCTGCTTAGGCAGTGAGGGGGGTGGGGAGTCAAGGCTTAGAGAACAGGTGCTCTAATGACATTTACATTTAGACTGAAAGCAAATGGTGTGGATGTTTAATGACCTAGTGGTATATAACCTATATTTTGTTGTTATTTTTAGTCTTCTGTAACAGTGACTGTTTTATAAAGTATGAGGTTGGCCCTACCAGCGTGGAGGCCATTCTCCAGCATAAACTAGACCAAGTACGTGAAGGCACTTAACCACAGGTGGTGAGTTCGGCAGTCAAGTGCTCAGCCCAGCAGAGGAAATGTTCCGTTTCTCGAGCTGGCAGCATGAGTAGTCGCCCAGAGAGTAGTCTATAGCCTGAAATGTATAAGAATCAGTCTATGAAGTAACATTTTCAAGAGAAATTAGAACTGTTCATCTCCCAAGTGTACGCTGTACCTATCTGATGCCTGCAAAGCGTTTTTCCTTTTAGGAAGAGAGCCCCATATATCGCTTATCTCACTCGCTGTCGACAAGGACTGCAGACCACACAGGCTCACCTGGAAAGGCTGTTGCAAAGAGTTTTGCGGGACAAGGAGGTGGCGAACCGATACTTCACCACTGTGTGCGTGAGGTTACTGCTAGAGAGCAAAGAAAAGAAGATCAGAGAGTTCATTCAAGGTAACCAGATACCTTTAGAGGAAGCATCTCTTCAGCTGGGTGTTCAGAGAGATTTGGAAATTTTATTTTATTTTACTTTGTTTGGCTAGTTTCTTCAAGTACCAGCATACCTTAGAACAGTTTCTGAAATAATTTGTTTTATGGTTTCTTAATAATTAAACTCTGACATCAAACCAGTAAATTGCTCCTAGATTATTTACATAAAGTTCATTTATAAAAACTGGAGAGATTTGGAAATTTTTGGATCTACGTAGTTTTTTTTTTTTTGAAACAAATTTTTTATTTTTAATTTTTACCATAAAGCACATGCACTTGCCAGAGAAAGAGACAGTGAAAGGGAAAGTGAGAAGTCACCCCCGCAGGGGAATGGCCATGCTGTAGTCCCTTCTGCATCCTCCTCCTGGGATTTTGGGCATATATGCACATGTACCTGGAGTAATTTTCATGCCGCCAGGTCCAGGACTCAAACCATGGTTGGCCATATGGGAGTCCAGCACTGTAATCACTATGCCACCTGCTGGTCCTAAAACAAAACTTTTTTTTAAAGAATTACTTTATTTAATTTTATTCATTGACATTTTATTTATTTTTTTAAAGAGTTGACCAGAGAGAGGGAAAGTGAGAGAGCCAGCTGCCAGGCTTGGGACTCGAACCGTGGTCAGCCATGTGGGATTCCAGTCACCCTAACCATCATACCACCTGCCAGCCCCCCACAAAACATATTTTTTATAACAAATCCCTTTAACTTAAAAATTTTATTTAAAAAAATTTTTGTATATAGTGTGTGCACTCACTGGAGAGAGACAGAAGCAGAGCAAGAAAGAAAGAGGAAAAGCAAGGAAACCCCCCGGGGGGTATGGTCATGCCACAGTCTCTTCATTCTCATTTTGGGATATTGGGCATTTATGTACACGTTCTTGGCATGTTCTTTAAGCTGCTGGATCTGGAACTTAAACTGAGCAGCTGGCCGTGTAAGATCTAGCATCTTAACCACCACACCTCTGGCTGGCCCAACATACTATTTAATTTCTCTTTCTTTAGTGATTTGGGTGCATGTTCTCTAAAAATAAACCACATCCAGCCACTTTTAGTTTTAGGGTCTTGGTGTCTGCATAGCCTGTGATTAAAATAATTTCTGCAATTTCTATTTTAAAATTATTCCAATAGCATATTTGAAAAATTATTATTTTGCATTGGAGATTTTCAGAAACTCACAGCAGCTGATGATAAAACTGCTCAGGTAGAAGATTTTCTGCAGTTTCTTTACGGTGCGATGGCCCAGGATGTCATATGGCAAAACGCGAGCGAGGAGCAGCTCCAGGACGCTCAGCTGGCCATTGAGCGAAGTGTGATGAACCGGATTTTCAAGCTTGCCTTCTACCCTAATCAGGATGGGGACATACTCCGTGACCAGTGAGTGCGTCTGTGTCGAGTGCCTGTGGGACCACGTAGGGACGTAGCAGGTAGCCCTTGTTTTGGGCACGTGTACACATGGCTTAGTATATGATGGTAAGAGGCAGGGCATCTGTTGCCATTTCTCACCCAGTAGTGTTGTCGGATCAAAAGGAGTGATAAGGGCTGGTTCTGTGACACAGTGGTTCAGCACTGCTCCGGAGAAGCTGGATCTCACATTGACCATGGTTCAGATCTCAGCCTGGTTATCCTGAAAGACACGCTGGGCATCCTGCTGGAAATCTAGTCCATGCACGCACAGATCCACACATGTGCCTGACTTACTTTCCATCTGCCAGGACCAGAGTTTGAACTGTGCAGTCAGCTGTATGGGATCTGGCTCCATTAACAACTAGGCCTCAGGGCTGGCCTGATCTTTTATCTTTTCCAGCCTAATTATCTTCATCTATAAAATGAGGGGCTGGATGGATGTTAAGAGTTCCTTTTTCATTGAAAAGCTATGGCCTTTGGTTTTTAGTTTTTTGTTGTTTTGGAATTTTTGCATTAGAGCACATCAACTTTTTTTTTTCTTTTTTGAGCACATCAACTTGCTAAGTGAGAGGGAACGTGAGAAATCACCCCTCAGAAGAGATAACAACACTGCAGTCCCTTCTCTTCCATTCTCCTGGGATTTGGGGGCCATGCACACACATACACCTGGCACGATTTTCAAGCCACCAGATCCAAGACTCAAACTGCAGTCAGCCACATGGGAGTCTAGCTGCCTTAACCACCATGCCACCTGCTTTTTTATCTTTTGATTCCTGTACTTCCTCTTACTATTTATTCTTACCTCCTATCACCTCCTCCTCTATTTCTGAGAGAGTATGACTGTGCAGCCCTTGGGCGCCTCTCTTTTCTCCCTTAGAATGCTGTCCTAGCCTAGGAAAGGACTTCCTTACTTTATCATATCCCCTTAGTTCACTTAGCATTTCTTCTCTTTTCTTTCTTTCTTTCTTTTTTTAACTTTGGTTAGAGGACAATACATGCTTGCCAGAGAGAGATGGAAAAAGAGAAGAAAAAGCATTCCTCATGGTGAACAGTCACACTGCAATCTGCTGTCCTTCATCGCTCCTTTGGGATTCTGGGCACACACATACACATGCCTAGCATGTTTCTCAAACCACTGTGTCTGGGACTTGAACTATGCAGTTATGTGGAATCTGACTGCCTTAACCACCAGGCCATGGAACTGGTCCCCACTTGACCATTTCTAAGCACATACTAAATATGAGCTTTGTTTTTCTTTTTTTGGGAAGAAAGATGGGGCACGGTGGTGGCCTAGCGGTAAAACGTGACACTCCATGAGGCAGTCCCACATGAGAAGGTTCCTGGTTCAAGTTCTGTGCCTCCTGCGTTAGTCGGGCACATGCTTGCCTGTGATCCAGGCCTGACTAAGACCTGAGATGACTCATGCTGTGAAGATGCTTTTGGGAGTGCTATTTCTCTTCCTTTTTCCTTTCTCACTCATGGAAGAAATAAACTTTTTTTAAAAGGGGATCAGCAGATGGCATGATGGTTACGTCACTGGATTCCCACATAGTCGACCACAATTCTAGTCCCAGACCTGGAGGCTTGAAACTCATGCCAGGCATGTGTACCCATAATCCTGAGGAGAGAAGGGATTGCAGCATGGCCATCCCCCACCCCCCACCCCCCCGGGTGATTTCTCACTTTCTGTCTCTGGCGAGCACATGTACCCTATAGCTGAGGTCGCTCTATAAAAAAAGAAAAGAAACTTCTAGCTAAGGAGAACCCAACCATAATTGTAATCCATATCTAGAAACAGTCTAAAATGTTTGAAGAGTTCTTTAAAAATCAGTTATTACTATTTACATACTTTATTTTCTGAAATGTATATTTACTTATATATTTTGGGATGCTTTCAGGGTTCTTCATGAACATATCCAGAGATTGTCTAAAGTGGTGACTGCAAATCACAGAGCTCTTCAGATACCAGAGGTAATGCAGGTTTCTATAGCATGGGTGATATCAACTAAATATTGCATGATGTTCTGCATACATGTGGCTGCTCTTTCCAGGAACTGGAAATTGATAAAATGTAAAATAGTATTTGCACTAGAAGTAATTCACTGTTACTGTAAAGTTTCCACAGAAAGGGACCTCAGTAGTGGGGAAGAGGGGAGATGTGGGGGGAGCCCTCCCAAAGCCACTCAGTACACAGGCAGGTGCTTGTCCCACCCTGGGGCAGCACGAGGTCAGCCTCCTGCAAAAACGTCCCATTTGAACAGGGGCTGGTGGCATTCTAGGTGTAAGAACTACAATTCCTGAAGAAGTCATTGAATCTGAATGTGACCTCAAGTTACCTTTAAGTTACGCAGATCAGCATTTTTACCTGTCATACATGTCTTACAAGAAAACAGGCTGGAGGGGTTGGCTGGTAGTGTGGTGATGAAGGGCGTTGGACTCGCACATGGCCATTTCCAGTTTGAGTCCCAGACCTGGTGGCTTGCTTCTTCACTTTCTCTCTCTCTCTCTGCCCCTTTCTAGTCACATTAAAATAAATAAATAAAATGAAGTTCAGTAAAAATAATTCTTTAAAAAAAAAAAACAAACAAAAAAAACAGGTTGGCCCTGCAGATGGTATGATGATTAAGGCATTTGATTCCCACTTGGCCGACTGTGGTTTGAGTCCTGGACCCAGCAGCTTGAAAATTACACTTGGTGCATATACATATGTGTACCCAAAATCCCAGGAAGAAAACGGAGGAGAAGGGGTTGCAGTGTGGTCATCCCCCTCTTCCCCAGGTTGGTTTCTCACTTTTCCTCTCAATGAGTCTCTCCAGAGTCCATGCACCCTCTGGCAAAAACCTTAAACAAAAAAACAGGAAAATATTAGATATTTGAGATTTCTGGGTTTTGTTAAAATCACACTAATGAAACTATTAGTATAAAATGTTTATTGTTTTTGATTTTTTAATGTTACCTTTTTTAAAAAGAATTCTTTATTTAATTTTATTTATTCGTTCATTTATTTTAATTTGACCAGAGAAAGCGAGAAAGTGGGAAAGTGAGAAAGCAAACCACCAGGTCCCAGACCTGAACCATGATCGGCCATGGTGGAGTGTCCAACACCTTAACCACCATACCACCTACTGGTCCTCCGAATCTGTTATTTCTAGAACTAGTACAAGAGCACATATTAATTTTTAAGTTTTCTTTTAGTAGCTTATTTGTGCTTTTGGAATCAGCTACTAAGTGTAGGAAAGTTCCATTCTGTTGATAGTTCATTAAGAAAGGTAATTGCTTAAAATTTTATGAGTTTTTAAAAGAATTATTTTATTCAACTTTATGTATTTATTTATTTAAATTTGATCAAAGAGAGACAGGACAGGGTGAGAAAGAGAGAAAGTAAGAAAGTAAGCTGCCAGGTCCGGGACTCGAACTGTGGTTGGCCATGTGGGAGTCCAGCACCCTTAACCACCACGCCACCTGCCAGCCCTGAAATTTTATGAGTTTTACGTCCTTTGTTGTAGTATACACTATTTCTATTAGTGGATATCCAGGGTGCTATACTTTGCAATGCAGGGCAGGCCCAGCCACAAAGATGCAGGCCATAGGGGACTGCTGTGTAATACTAGAGCCATTTGAGAAGGCTCTGGGTTCACTTCTTAGGTTGACTGGACATGCTGCATACCTCTGATCCTGGCTTGTTAGGAGGCTGGGCATGGAGATTGAGGTGTGGCCAGACCACTTCAGGGATCCATTTCTGTCCCTCTCTTATGAAAGAAGGAAACTGTAAAAGAAAAGAATGCAAAGCAAAATACTTAAAAGTTCAACATTACTCTTCACTTGTGGGTGGAAAGGAAAGGGACTGCAATATAATTTTACTGAAGAAAGGAAAAGAAAAGCCTCCTGGAGGAGGTTGCAGTGGTTGTGCAGGGCTACCGTTGGAGTCAGGATCTGTGTATTGCTGTGGTCTCACCCTCCATAGGTGTATCTTCGGGAGGCACCGTGGCCATCTGCACAGTCAGAGATCAGGACGATAAGTGCTTACAAAACCCCCCGGGACAAGGTGCAGTGCATCCTGAGGATGTGCTCTACGATCATGAACCTCCTGAGCCTGGCCAACGAGGACTCTGTCCCCGGAGCTGACGACTTCGTCCCCGTGTTGGTGTTCGTGTTGATAAAGGTGGGTCCCTTACTAATAGTCTTAAAGTGTGTATTGGCATTTTGAGGAGGGTGGCACAGGGCTTCACATGATGTCAGGGACCTTGGCTGTTTCCTAGGCGCAGGCTCTGTGTTACTCAGAAAGAAAGCTGATGTCTGATGTCAGGATCTGTTCCTAAGTTTGGGTTTTCAAAAGAAAGTATGGGCAGAGTAGATTCCTCAATGTTTTTAGCTCTTATAGCAGTGCCTTCTGAACTCATTCTGAAGTTCTTGGTTAGGGCTTAGTTATTTGGATGAATGAATGAGGACAAGATCTTTCTTATTGGACTTTACCACCTTCTTCCACATTGAAGTCTCTTTGTACTATAGACCATCTCTTAGCCTCTTACTTTGAAATTTAGTGTAGTCTTTTATGTCTCTTGGCTTTCTTTGACTTTAACATTAAAGTTGCATCATTTAAACAGTTTATTTCAGGTATTTTGAGGGTGACCATGCAGTTCGGGTGCAAACAGCTACTGAGTGACTACATCGTTCCTGTGTTCTGGTTAGCTCCTGTCTTACCAGTGAGGCTTAGTGTTTCTGATACGTCCGCCTCCTGAGTTGGGAACCTCTAGAACTGGCCAGTGCTCCTTTCTGGCACTGCTCCTCTGTCTTCATGTGTGATCTGCCTGGTCCCACTATGGAGCCATTTTAAGTTGCTTTTTAGGAACAGGCCTTAACTTGACCTCCTAGTTATTTAATAATGTATATCCTTTCTCTCCACATGACAAAAGTTAAAAAAAAAAAAGAAAAAACAAAACAAAACAGGAAATGTTCCATGTAGCTTAATGCAACAGAGAGCATGTTATCTTTTTTTAGTTTTTTCTTCCTTAGCTGATTCTGCCTGGACTTACTAACAAGATATAACTCAATTTGCTGCTAGCATTTATTTCCTTATCTAACACTCTGCATCCTGAGGTGTGGAGTTAGACTGCTGAGGTTAGTTTAGCCTCCTGGAGAACCAGTGAGGTTAGGTGACTTGCAAGGATAGAAAGCTCTACATAGTTGTGCTAGGGGGGCCGGCAGGTGGCTTGGTGGTTAAGGGCGCTGGATTCCCACATGGTCAATTGTGGTTCGAGTCCTGGACCTGGCTACTTTCCCTCCCTCCTTCTTTCTTTCTTTCTCTCTCTCTCTCTGGTCAAAATCAAATAAATAAATAAATAATAATTATTAAAAAATAATTGTGCTAGGGTCATAATCTTTTCAATATACTATTGTTATTCATAATAGCTAGGGTTTACAGATTACTTCCAAAAAATCATGTTGGGATTATTTTCAAAAGGACTGTTAGCTCTTTCATAAAAAAACATTTGAAGTACACTAATTATTTTGGCAGAACTATACTTCTGAGTTATTGATGCCTGTTTATTTTTCACTTCTCTAGGCCAATCCTCCCTGTCTGCTGTCCACTGTTCAGTACATCAGTAGCTTCTATGCTAGCTGTCTGTCTGGAGAGGAGTCCTATTGGTGGATGCAGTTTACGGCAGCAGTGGAATTCATTAAAACCATTGATGACCGGAAGTGACCAAGACCATGGCCCACCCAAGGCAGCAGACTGTTAGTCAGGCAAACAGATTGTGAAGAAAATGTCCCAGTTGCTTTGAAGGCTGCAGATTGTTTTTGTATAATATTGTATAGCATTCAGACATTTTAAAACAGATCTTTACTAAACAGATTAATGAGCTAACAAGCAGGTTCTCTTTTCTTTGGGCCCCTTTCCTTTCTGAGTTGCACATTTTATTTTCTTGTCCTCGAATATAGAATAATTCTACAAAAAGGGACCACATTTTTCAGGTATTTTGAAATATTACAAAACAGAACAAAATTTAGAATTTTCTTAGAACTGCATTCATGGATACCCGTTCTTTTATTTGAAATAAGAAGAGTAAATCTCTTTTAAGATACTCTTTATCTACATGCATCTAGTGGAAGGGAAAATCCAGTTGCACTGAGGATGGTAATAGTGGTGCGTTAGTGGCATTATCTATAAATAAACTCACCTAAATTGAAAAGCTAAGAAGGAAATGTAAATATAATATATATTTATATTTGATGTATTATGGACATCTTCAGAGTCTAATAAACAGGAATATTGCTGATAGTAGGTTGTGAAATACCCTCTTGTGAAATGGTTTCCTTGACAAAATTTAAGCTGAGCTTAAAAGCAAAAACAAACAAAACACAGATATTTATTAAAATTGCTACAGTGTGTGGGACTCTCTAGGTGTGGACTTTGATGTGCAGGGCTGCCTTCGATGAGGAGTCTGACGTCACTAAGTCAGACAGAGCTCACCGGGAGAGTTTTTGAGCCTGTATGTGGGAGGTAGACTCTTTAATTACCATGCATTACATAAAAAGGAACAGTAGACATCTAATACTTCATCGTGGTACTTCTCATCCGAAATACTTACTATACTGTAGAAACCCCAGACAGCTCCTTACAAACCTTTAATTGTAATGTATTTTTGATGATTATTCACATTGAATGCACAGAACAGGAATTCAGTGAATGTCATTTTTTTTAAAAAAACTAATTTGTATTGTCTGCTCTAGTGATACAAGTTTTACTAGTGATAAACTATTTTAATCAACCATACTATTCTTATGGAAAAAAATCTATTTTGGCAGGTTTCTGTGCCTTTATTTCCCTCTTCTGAAAAAAAGAAAAGAAAAACAAAAACCTGTGTTTCAGTAGTTCAGTTTGCATAGTGTATTGATGATTCATCAGGAATGGGTTTCAGTGCCTAAGATACTGGCCAGGGCGGCACACCAAAGCTTCAAGCACAGGTGTTAAACCTAGGCGGTCACCGACTGGTTTCCCTCTGTGTGTGTCCCAGGCTCCGCCCCATACCTTGAGTCCCATTGCTGGCAGTGTCTCCAGGCATTTTCTAAGGGGACCCGGACAGGGAGCCTTGGCAGACAGGCTCAGGCTGTCTGCCCCCCGTCCCTGAGAGTGTGCTCTCACGGTGCCTGAAGAAGCCAATTGTCTTTATGCCTGCATCTCTTCTCAGCCATTTATTTTAAAATACCAGACAAGTTGCATAGGAGTGTGGGATGTGGTTTCTGCCCTTTGGGGAGAGATCAGGAGTAAATCAGTACTACGGACGTCCTTTTTTGAGTGTTAGGTCAAGAGCTCTATGTACAGTCGTGTGCTTCATGGGCCGTAACCGCCCGCCCTGCCTCGGAATCCAGCCAGATCCCATCAGAGTCCTGCACAGGATCGATGCGCAGCACACTTTCTGAGACCTCAATGGGGTCCCTTTACTTCCGCATTTGAGTCGATAAAGTTACGTCACCAGGAGACTTTGAACAGTGGAAATTCATTGTTGTGGGACTTCACTCATAAATCAATAAAAGATTGTTTTCTCCAGAATGGTAGCTAAATCCATTCCATGTTGTCACTGTGGAAATAAATACAAAGATGTGGACACTGCGCTGGGGCTCTTTTCTGTGGAACGGAGGGTGGATGTGGGGTGGAAGGCTACACTGGAGACAGGAAACACGGCCCTGTGGTGCTTGAACCAGCAGGTCCCTGAGATTCGGCATCAAGTGGCACACTGAGACAGGTGCCAGTGCTACTGAGCAGGAGCTGGCAGAGAGCCCAGCCCAGCCCTTCTAGGGACAGCTACGTTTTCCTCCGGAAACCCCAGCGGGAGCTAGACCTACTTCAGTATTAAGCAGTGCTGGTTTGATTTCATGACGGAATTTCTTAGAGGTTGATTTCTGAATTCAGAATTAGTCACACCTGTATGGCAGTGGGTGCGTGAGATGGAGTGATTTGGTTTTGTGGTTGAGATGTGTCTTACAGCACTGGAAGGAAGCACTAGTACTAAGTACAAAAATCACTCTAGGAAACGTCCACTGGCCACTAGGTATTCCTTAGAACACAAAGTTAGAGGGTGCCAGATGGGGAGGTAGTGTCCCAGCTCACCGAGGCCTTGTATAATAGAATGAACTCATCTAAGGAAAAGGGAAGTCAGTTTATATTGAGTTGTCAGAAAAACCATAACATGTTTTTCTATGTAAAAATGCACCATGACTTTGCCAACAACCTACTATTTTATATTTATGTTTTGCTTCTGGAAGTAATAGAGATACAGATGGAAGGTTGTTCTTCTTTGTACATTTGGTAAATATTTTGTTTTCTTCGCTTCAGGTAAAATCTCAGCCCAGTAATTACTTTCTTGTGCCTTTTCTTTATAAAAACCTGCTTATGAAAGCCTTTTGCAGAGATAGTTAAATTGCTGTGGCAAGAGAGTTAGACTTTCCAAAGGATTGAAAATGTGATTCATAGGTTTATTTTCCTTCTGTGTCCTGGAAGCCTGTGCTTAAAGTGGACTTTAAACACACATGTTCCTGAGATGCACAACTGAGAACCACCACCACTACCACCCTCCCGTGGATGGCGTGTTTTCTTGCCCCAGGAATCTCCATGGCTGCTGAGCCGGGCACCGTTTCCTCTCTCTTGCCGCCATGGGAATCGCAGTCTGGGCCAAGTGAAGGCCTGCCGTGCTGACTGAGGTTTCCAGGTGTCTTTTCCTGATGTGATTGGGTGTGAGGAGGAGGTAAACATGCTTGCTCCGAGTTCGCACATTGTACGCCGAGGTAGAAACGTGGCGGAGTTAGCGTCCTCCGTCAGTGTACCCTAGACTTTCTCCTCCTGCTCCTGCTTTATTTTTTTAAAGAAAAGTCTGTTTCCCCTCTGTTCAGTTCTTTGAAGTCTGGTGAGTTTGTTCTGTATGTAATTGCTGTAACATTTGGGGAAAAAAATTAATCATCTTGAAGCTCAAACTGGATTAAAATGGTAAGATACCTGAGATATTTCGAATGCCAAGATGCTTGAGGACTTTGCCAGATTATTATTTAATACATTTTAGATTGTAGGTTACCCAAGACAGGATGACCAGGCATGGCTTTCTTACTCTTTTTTCTTTTCTCTTTTTTTTTTTTTTTTTTTCTTAAGGGGGTGTCACACTACAGACAGAGAGACAGAAAGCAAGAAATCACCCCGCAGGGGTGGTGGCCACGCCGCAATCCCTTCTCCTCCATTCTCTTGGGATCTTGGGCACGCACGCACACGTGCCTGGCGTGAATTTTAAGCCACCGGGTCCGGGATGCGAACCACGGTTGACTACATGGGAGTCCAGCGACATAGCCATTACACTAACAGCTGGTCCCCGTTACTCTTGACTGTTGAGAGCATTTGGAGAAATGAAGAGAGATTGCTTCAGTTAAGGTCATGGCTGAGCTATGGAGTCACCAAGGGGCTGCCAGGCTCCACAGGCCTGTGCTCAGCAAAAGTGACGAGAGAGGAAGGCCTTTCTCCATGGCAGAGAGAGTGGGCAGGGCCACACGCCTTAAGAATTCCTCTGCCGAGCTGATACCCTGCCTCGTCTCCTGTATTCTTGTACCTCACCTTGTTAAAAAGCTTTGTACTGCCTCTCCTCTTGAACTTGGCAGAGCCTTTATATGAGCCTCAGTTAACGAGCGTGCACAATCTTACATATGTACAGGAGCTCCATCCCGTCCCCTAATGTGATTACTAATGTATAATACTATTCTGTAAAACTGATTACAAAGGGAGAGCAGTTTAATTCACTGGGTTTATGTTTCCACCATCTATTTTGTATTCAGAAGCATTTCTGAACATTTATTTGACTTCCTGGCTGTCCCCGAAGTTCTCCATGCATTCATACTCATCTTTTTCATTTGAACATCTAGGACTCCAAGACAGGTTCCGAAGGACCTGGAGTGGCTGGCAGTCACCAAGGAGGGGACCAGCCACTGGGTGCAGTTCCTCTCTGACCCCTGTGTTCATAGCTCTTCGTCAGTCTCAGTTCTGAAAGCAGAAGTTTCCAGCTAATCTCACTATCCGCTGGGCGCTTTGCTGAGCTCGGCAGAGGAAGTTGGGACTGGGCAGCGAAGTATACTCTCAGGGGCAAGTGCACTCGGGCGCTCTCCCTGCACGTGGATTGCCCTTCATTTACAAAGAAGCATTCAAACACTTGTTCATTGCTTCGTTTTCATTTGCTCTGTTCAGTTTTGAAGTGAATGCTGTGACTTGCC